TGAGTGACAGTAATAAGAAATGAGGCCATTGGAGGGCACCTAGAGATCCTTTAGGGCCTTAGTTCCCCTGTTTTCTCTTCTTATCCTTTGCTTTCTTTTCATTTGTTCTTTTTTAAAAAAAGTATTTTGTTATAGGTTGTGTGTGCTCATCCCAGAGAGGCAGTGAGAGAAAAAGTGAGAAATTACCCTCTAGGGAGGATGACCATATTGCAATTCCACCTCCACTCTCCTCTTGGAATTTTTGAGACCTGAACCATGGTTGACCATGTGGGAGTCCGGTGCCTTAACCACCAAGCCACCTGCTGATTCCTTCATGCCCTTTCTTACAAAGCCACTGTACACACTTGTTTTTATAAAAACTGACTGCATGCTAATAATCACATAGAACAGAGCTGAGATGAGCATAAGAGAAGAGAGGTATTTAGATTCAAAATTTAAAGAGACACTCACAATCAGACACCAACTCTACACTTACATGACCCTGAGGGGGCAGGTGTCTTTAAATCTTGCATCCTATATGCCTTTCTTGTCTTACCTTAGTTTTGGTCCAGATGCAGACAACCTCTGCTACTCCCTATTGGTCATGAAACAGGCTGGTATCTTTACTCCCCACAGCCATCCCTGACTCCTACTCTGCCAATATCTCTACCAGAATAATTTATTCTGCTAACATAACCTTAGAAGGCAGGCAAAGCTGGGCAAGCCAACCATGGAGATGATGAGTGTGTTCTTCTCTTTGGCCATCCTGGTCACCCCCTACCCCTAACTCCAGTGGCAAAGAGAAAGACATATTCTAGGCTAGACTTAGCTTGTAAACCTCTATGCCTGTCAACCAAGTGTGTGGATGGTGGCTAAGAAGCTGAGTTTATAAAGCTCAGGAATAGAGGTCCATGAGCTGTGACTCCGGGATTACAAACAGGATGAAAGCATCTTGCATAGTAGAGTGCATAAGGAGAGTCACTCTAAGCTGACTTGATAAGAGAGGCCAAGGAGTATTCACTTCACATAATAAAATAAGCTTTAAAATGTACTTCATGTTTATTCTCCTTCAAGGAGTTAAAAACCTTTGAGGATTTTAGTTTTATTATAATTTTTTTTTTCCAGACATGTGTGGTCACCAGGGAGAGGCAGAGAATGAAAGAGAGAGGAGACAGTATCCCCCATGGGACATGATTATGCCGCAAGTCCCTCTCTTCCATTTCTCCTTCCTTTCCAATTTTGGGAACACACACACATCTGCCTGGCATGTTTCTCAGCTACTATGTCCAAGACTCAAGCCCTGTAGTCAACCATGTGGAATCTAACTGCCCTAACCACCAGGCCATGAAGTTGGCCCAAGGATTTAAAATTTTTAGAAAAATATGAAGGGACTTTAAAAAGTTAGTTGAAGAGAACATCAGATGTCATAGTGGTTATATCACTAGGCTCCCACATGGTCACCTGTATTTCAAGTCCCAAACCCAGTGGCTTAAACCTCATACTGAGCGTGTGTGTGTGAGTGCCCGAAATCCCAAGAGAAGGATAGAGGAGAAGGGATTGTGGCATGGCCATCCCTCCAGGGGGTGATTTCTCCCTTTCTGTATCTCTGTTTCTCTGGCAAGCACATGAGCCCTAATTAGCAAAAATCTCTCTAAAAAAAGAAAAGTTAGTGGAAAAGTGGGACTAAAGTATTGGGTTGTTGGAAGAGTCATGATGTAATATTTTCTATGTTTTTCTGATGACCCAATATGAATTTATTTTCACACACACACATACACACACACACACACATATATATATTTAATCCATGCATAGTTTTTTTTTTTTTATAATATGTGTTTTCTATGAGTTTTCTGGAGATCCCTCATATAATTGTTCCACATAAGGACTCTGAGGGGTAGACAGAACAGTGGGCAGAGGGTGGGTCAGTGGGCAATGGCATTAGTCTTTCTACTCTACCAGGATGGCTAGATGCCTTTCTAGGATCATCCCCATCCACCAACAGACAGATAAGCCCACCTTGCACTGATGTCATCTCAGGGTAATCTGTCTCCACTTCTTAAAGGGTCCAACCAGATAAGGCTGGCATTTTAGATAGCTGACAAAGAATAATAGCAGGGTCTGGGAGGGAAGAAAAGGAACTATGAAAATGAAACAAAAATCCATAGATTTTTCCATTTAAGAAAATGTGAAGACCTCAGGAGTGTTCAACTTCAGGAGCAGATACAATGTTTAAGGATTCTGATCAAAATTACTGTCACCCTATATTAACCTTATAAAATGTAGTGAGGGATGCTCTTTTCCTAATTATTATACTATAGCCTAATAAGTTAAATCATAAAAAGTCATATTCTCTAGACATAACATAGAGAATATATTCTAAGATACTAACATATTATTTCTGAACCCATTTTTATTACTGTCAAATACAGTATCTTTGATCAGGAAAATCCTTTGTTTAAACAGAAACTTGGCTATCTTGCTTCTTGAAAATCTTGCTTCTCTTTAATGGTGCTTTAGTTTCTCACATCCTGAAGGTTCCAGGGCTACAACCTGGGGTTTGGGAATTTTTCAATCCCAGTGCTATTTTTGAAACACTTCTTTTGAATCTTCTAAAAAATCAAAAGAATCCCAGTTTCTGTGAGGCAACCAAACTAGTTTTTACCCCTTCTTCACTCTGGTATCTACTAAACCTGCCCTTGCTCAGCAGCGATCAGGCAGGTAGATGAATATCTTCATCCAAAGTTTGTCACCCACCTTGTTGATGTTAATCTCTAATTCATTCAGTATTCTGGCCTCCCAGTACCCTGGCCTCCTCATTTTTGGTGGTTTCATCTCTATATACTTTAGTTGTCTATATTCTTGGACTGTTTCCTTGATTGCGTAGGGCAGGAGTTGGTGACCCAGAGTCAGCTCTGCCTGACTCAAGTATCCCAGGGAATGGGGCTCATGACTTGGGACTTGGTTCTAGAGGTTGTCCTCTCGCCCTCCTTTCCTGATTCCCTTTCAAAAGGGCAAGACTAATTCAGCTGAGAGAACATGCCCTCCAAAACCTGTACATCCCCTTTCCAGTCATGAGAACCCTGAATTTCTCTACTCACAAGGCCCTGAACTCCTAAGCATGCTCTTTGTAGGGAGTAAGGACAGAACTTGGATATTTGGTTTTGTAATGTCCATATGCATGGATGTGAAACCCTTTATGTTCTAGGACGAATTTCAGAGTGAGAAGTGAGAAAAACGTACCCTATACTTGGCTAGCAAAAATGACCAATATCTCATTATCAATAATAGCTCTAGTCCTGCCTTGTAGACAGAATTTATTAAGATACTTCATCATAGAATTATTTTTGCTTCCTGAAAGAACCCATGCCTGGCAAAATCCTAGTTCTTTGAACCACCCCTCAAATCACCTGTCTAAATTCTGTAAATTTGCTCTAACACACTTTTGCTAATATGTTCCAGTTTCCCATGACACATGTTCTCCCTTATTTATAAGCAAATAAACCTAACTTGTTAAAAATTATTTTATTTAACTTCATTTTATTTATTTATTTATTTATTTATTTTTAATTTGACTAAAGAAAGACAGAGTGAGAGAGTGAAAGAGAGAGAAAGTGAGAAGGCAAGCTGCCAGGTCTGGGACTTGAACCATGGTTGACCATGTGGAAGTCCAGTGCCCTCAACCACCACGCCCCATGCTGGCCCCAGCAAATGAACCTAACTTCGACTACAGGTATCACCTTAAAGACCTTTGATAAGTATCAACTTGCCAAAAACTCTAATCAAAGAATAAAGTCTTGTATAATAACTAAATAGAAGTAATTAATATCATCATCACCATTATCATCATCATAGAGGACTCAAATGAGGTATAGATAGATCCAATAATATTGCTGTATCTTCCAAACAATGCGGAGTGGAAAAAGCAAGACACACAATAGTGTATACTACAGTACAAATCAACTGATGGAAAGCTTAAAAAAAAAAAAAAAAGTGAAGCTACATTTTTGGGGGTTGCACATAAACTTGGACTTTGTGCCCTAAAAAACTGCAAAGTAGTCATCAGTACAATATTCAAGACAGCGTTCACCTCAGGGCTACAGAAGTCAATGTAGTGGTGTTCCTAGGGTGTCAGTAAGTTTCTGTTTCTTGATTTTGATGTTAGTGAAGTGGGTGACTACTTTATATACACTAGTTAAACTGTACAAATAAGCCCTATGTGTTCTTTGTAGCATCATGCTATATTTTACAATAATAAATGCAAGAAAACATGATTAAGAGTACTATACAGGGAAAGATAAATAATCTGATATCTCCTTTTTTTATACAGCAATAGTTTTAATATTTTATTCATGGCTTACAATCATCATAATCAACATTTATTGTTAGGTTGCCTTGTAAATGAAGAGGGTAGATTTTTTTTCTTAATTTTATACATTCAATTACTGTCTATCACTATAGTTTGTGAAATGAATTTTCTCAGAATAATTGTTTACTGCGGCATTATTCACAATTGCTAAGACATGGAACCAACACAAATGTCCATGGACAGATGAATAGTTTGAAAAAGTGTGGCACATACACACTATGGAATAATACTTAGCCATAAAAAAACAACAAGACCCTGGCATTTGATAGGAACTGGACAAATATGAAAAATTTACTGTTGAGTAAAGCAAACTAAACTATGAAAGTGAAACACTGTATGTCCACACTTAATATTTAGCTAATGTCCACACTCTATGGTGGAAACTGAAAGATTGGAGGATACAGAAGCATAGAGAACATTGTGGATACTATTTCCTTTCATAAGACATTTAGAATTTGGTTAGCATAAATTAATTCACCTGATGCAAATTATCCATGGATAAAGTGCTATATATTAGCTCTGCAAATTGCAAAGATAAACAGTAATCTTTGGATTTGATTGTGATGACCAGGACCTTCTATCTTAAAAGGCTTTATATAAAAAGGGCCTGATCTCCCCAACTGCCTCTCTTTGTAACATTCATTCACTCTACCTTGAAGGATATTTCAGTTGTCATAGTGAATCCATGGGTGATGACAGGTTCTTCTTCTGCAGTCCGTCCCTTCCAGCAGTCCAGCTCCACACAGCGGCAGCCAGATAGGAGCACTTGGCGATACATTTCAACAGAGGAGTTTCCAGCCAACTGGCCAGCTATAAAACACCAAGAAGACAAATTCCAGAATTCATGAACCAAGAAGACTGTTGTGGCTTCCCAGGAATGCTCAACAATGATAAACAAAGGGTTTAAGAGCTGGAACAATTGTTCTCAGCCTTTCTTATGTCTCAACATACCAGAAGGTAGTGGCACAATCCAAAGTATAATCATGGCTACCCAGCAGTGGTTTGGGGATAAAAAAAGGAGAGAGAATTAGAGGGAGGAGGGCATTATAACAGTAACATTGACACATTATTAATTGTTTATCAAACGTCAATTACAAGTCCTTGAACTTTACATTTATTGAACAGTCATTTTCTACAAAAGTCTCTCTGCCAATTTTTTAAAAGAGAAGTTTGTCTGTTTGTTCGTTTATTTATTTATTTTGCTATAGGGTGCGTGTGCTCACCAGAAAGACAGAGAAAATTAGATAGACAGAAAGCGAAAAATCAACCGCCAGAAGTGGGTGGTCATACCACAATTCCTTCTCCTCCATTCTCTTCTAGGGATTTTGGGCATGAATGCACACACCCCCAATGTGAGTTTTAAGCTTCCAGGTCTGAAACTTGAACCATGGTCGACTACATGGGAGTCCAGTGACATAACCATTACACCATCTGCTGATCCCATAAATATTTTTTAAAATACTCATTTCAGATAATGAAAATGCCACAAAGTAGTTCAGTTGTCCTTGTTTCCAAAGCTAGGAAGTAGGAAATTCAGGATTTTAACTTCAAAACTCAGTCTTTTCATTCTGTCTCCAGACAATAGAGTTTGTTTGTTTGTTTATGTCAGATGGCGTGTGTGCATGTATCAGAGAGAGAAAGAAAGTGAGAGCTTGAGAACACTTCCCCTTGCCCTCAATAAAGCCTGGTCATGCTGTGATACTTTTTCCACCTATTCATCAGGATCCTGGGTCTAAGTACACAGGACTAACATGGTTTTTCATGCTGATAGGCCAGGGTTTAAACTTTGCTTGGTCATGTTTGATTCGGCTTCTTCTGTGCAGTGCCTAAACACTCACTGTATTATGGGGCTGACTTGAGAGAGTACTGTTGGAAGGAAAGGCTGTTTTATTACATACCTCAGACCCTCTATAATGTTTATCCAAGGCAAAAATGCTTAGAAAAGCTAAACATCCTTTTACATTTTTTTCTTTCTCTCTTTCTTTTTCTTTTTTTTAGAATGAGACTTTATCTATGGGGCACATGTGGTCACCAGGGAGAGAGAGAAACACAGAGACAGAAAGAGAGAAATCACCCTCAGGGGGTGCAATCCCTTCTCCTCTCAGGATTTTGGGCATGCATGCACATGCACACAGTGAGTTTTAAGTCTCTGGGTTCAGGATTTGCACTGTAGTTGATTACATGAGATTCTAGTGACATAACAATTACACCACCTGCTGGTCACCGTTTCTATTTCTTTTTTTTTCATTCAGATTTTTGACACATGCAAAACATGTGCATTCACCTTAAGGAGAAACAGTGACAGGGAAAATGAGAAATCAATCCCCAGGGGGAATGGCAAAGCCACAATCCCTTCTCTTCCATTCTCCTCCTGAGATTTTAAATATTCATGCACACATGCCTGGCATGACTTTTCAAGCTGCTGGATCAAGGACTCAAACTGCAGTTTGCCATGTGAGAGTCCAGGGCCTTAACCACTACACAACCTGCTGGCCCCTCCATATTCTTTTACTTATTTATTTATTTTTAGAGAGATTTTGCTATAGGGCACATGCACTCACTGGAGAGACAGAGACAAAAAGCAAGAAATTACCCTCCAAGGGGAATGGCCATGCTGTAATCTCTTCTTCTCCATTATTCTCTCAAGATCTTGGGCACACATGGACATATGCCTGGTGTGAGTTTTAAGCCACTGGATCTGGGAATCAAACCACAGTCGACTATGTGGGAGTCCAGTGACGTAACCATTATGCCATCTACTGGTCCCAAAATTCTTTTTTTTTTTTTTAGAGAATTATTTATTTAATTGATTCATTCATTTGTTTTAATTTGACCAGAGAGAGGCAGAGAGAGAGAGAGAAAGAGAGAGAGAGAGGAAGAGAGAGGGAAAGTAAAAAACCAAGCCACCAGGTCCAAGACTTGATCTATGGTCAGTCATGTGGGAGTGTCTAATGCTTTAAGGACCATGCCACCTGCTCGTCCTCCCAACATTCTTTTAAAAAATATTCTTTTTGTAAGAATAAATAGAAATTTAGGGCCAGCAGATGGTACAGTAGTTAAGTCACTGGACTCCCGCATGGCCAACTACAGTTAGAGTCCTGAACCTGGTAACTTGAAACAATCTGGATGAATATGTTAGGTTCCCAAGATCCTGGGAGGAGAATGGAGGAAAAGGGGTTATAATACAACCATCTCCCCTGGGAGGTGATTTATCCCTTCCCCTCTCATTGTCTTTCTCTCTCTCCCTGCTGAGCACATGTGTCCTGAGGCAAAAGTAAACCTCTTAAAAAACAGAAATTTAATGAAAGACATTTAAAAATTATTTGCTAATAATGATAAAAACTGACAAAACCAAAAAGTCCTAAATAAATGGGAAGACATACTATGTTCATGGAACAGAAGAACATAGTTTTAAGATGATGTTACTCTCCAAACTAATTTACCAAGTAAATTCTTATTAAAATCTCACTTAGCTTCTTTTGTTTTTGTTTTTGTTTTTGTTTTTTTTTTACAAAGGTTGGCAAGCTGATTCAAAACTTCATATGGAATTATAAAGAATTCTGATTAGCCTAAACAATCTTGAAAAATAAGAATAAAGTTGGAGAAATTTGTCTTCCTAATTTTTTTTTCTTTTTTTTCTTTTTTTTTTGGAGAGGTTTTTGCTATAGGGCGCATGCGCTCGCCAGACAGACAGAGAGAGACATAGAGACAGAAAGCGAGAAATCACCCCCCAGGGGGGATAGTCACGCCGCAATCCCTTCTCCTCCATTCTCCTCTTGGGATCTTGGGTACGCACGCACACGCGCCCGGCGTGAGTTTTAAGCCACCGGGTCCGGGACGCGAACCGCAGTCAACTACATGGGAGTCCAGCGACATAGCCATTATGCTAACTGCTGGTTCCCAACACACTTCCTAATTTTAAAACTTATTGAGGCAGAGACTGGCTAAAGAGTTAGGCATTAGGGAAGCCATAATGGAAGGCTGACAAAAAGAAATGACTTAATGCTAGCCAGCTGAATTCTGTTCTTAGATAATTTACATCTCCCTCTTCCCTGACCCTTGCCCTTCCAGGACAAACCATTACAGACCTCCTCAAAGGACACATAAAATAATGAGTAGAGTCAAAGTCTGGATCCTGTTAATCTCTTAACTCCAGAATCTACGCAGGTCTGAGAAAAAAAATCCACCTGGGCCTGATGGAAATAAGGAAATAAACAGAGAATGGTACCAGAGAAAATTACTGGTGCCAAGGGACCAAAATTGCACCCAAACTACAAGGCTAAACAATATAAACTCTTTGTGACTATTAACTAATACTTTCTTGTTAAAAAATAAAAAAGGCCTTTACAAAGCTTAAGGTTTTTGCCATACGGGGGGGGGGCAGTACTAATTTGAGAGCTTTAAGATAGAGATACAACAGTTTAAAAGCAGCTCAGTTCTCACTAAGTTACTTGGTCACAAGAAACAGTTTATAGCAGTAACTCCATGGTAATCTAGGCAGCATGACCTAAACAAAGGCTTTTTTTCCCACCACTGTCCAGGAAGAAGGTAATGGTCTTTCATGGTTCCAAGCTTTTAGACAAAAAAAGTCTCCTGACCTTTATACCCACTACAAAATTAGAAAAAACAAAAAACAAACAAACAAACAAAAACCAGACCCATCTAGCATTGTAATTCCCCACCACAAGAGGAATGTATGCAAAAGCTTCTCTTGAGAACAAGCCTGAACAAAACCCTCTGACCCAGATAAAACTCCCTCACCTTAGCTCCTCTTTGGCAACCCATGTTCTGGGACCCATTCTCTGCCTTGGACACTCTGTTCTTCCCTTTTTTCTTCGATAAATTCTCCACTTTGCTATCATGTCTCTGTGTCTACATTTCTAATTCTGTGTGAGCATGAGACAAGAATTGGGTTCACTACTGTTCCTGAATTGGGTATTGGGCTCATGCACCCCCTCTTCCTGCATCATTAGTATAAAGCTACAGTAAACAAGACAGTATGGTACTGTCATAGAAATACACATAGATTAAAGAAATGGAATTGAGAGTCAGAAATAAACTCTCAGTTTATGGTCACTTGACTTCAACCAATATTGCCAAGATAATTCAATGAAGAAAAAAATAGTCTTTTCAGTAAATAATGCTTGGACTACTAGTGTTTATAGGTAAAAGAAAGAGGATGGATCTCTACCCCATACCATATACAAAACATTAACAGATATTGGATCAAGCTCCTAAATAAAAGAACAAAATATACAAAATTCTTAGGACAAAACATAAGAGTAAATCTTTGTGACCTGGATTAGCCAATGGTTTTGTAGATATATCATTAAAAGCACAGACAACAAAAGAATAGATAAATTTCAAAACTAAAGCTTTCATGTCTGGAACTGAAATACCCTACTATAGTAATGAGAATTATAATAATCAAGTCATCTGAAAGGACTCAGTGCAGGAATACATAGAACATGGAAGCCAAACTGCTCCTTATTCACTAAGGAAATCAGTGCAAGTCACTAATTTTTTGTTAATTAATTTTAAAAGATTATTAACAAATAACTTTTGAGATAAGCCTATTATCAACATACAAACTGAAATATGGTTTTCCGTATTAAAGATTTTCTTTTATTTATACACTGTAAGTCTCTCTTTCTCTCTCTCTCTCTCTCTTTTTTTTTTCCTGAGAGGCTTTCACTATAGGGCTCATGTGTTTGCCAGAAAGACAGAGAGAGATAATAAGTGAGAAATCACCCTCCCAGGGGGGATGGCCACACTGCAATCCCTTCTCCTCCATTCTCCTCTTGGGATCT